CCTACACTCACATCCACACCCACACCTACACTCACATCCACACCCACGATAAACTATAAATAGCTAAAATTGGGACAAAAAGATTTTTTCACCAGAGTAAAAAATAAAAGAGTGTGCTATGTTCAGAAGTGAATGCTGATTCTAACCATATATATTTTTTTAAATATTGAGGAATGAAAAATAGCCTTACCTCCCCTCTTCCTTTATTTATGTTGATAAAGTAATTAGATATGAGAGAAAAAAAACATAAACGCAAAAGAGAGTGTAGCCTGAGGCATGAATGCAATCATATTCCTGTTCTTAACGTGGAGACATGTGATGTTGGAAAAATTAAAGAGTATCGAAAAGAATTGCAAATAATGAATAAGAACTGACGTCATACTCCTATAATTTACTAATTTATATTCACATTATATCATTAGGTAGAAATATATGAATATCATACGAATGCATCTATGATAGTTGTCGTAATTAGTCATCTGTAGGAAATTTCTATGCATTGAATAAACAACTTGAAATAGTTACCAACATTGTAGTTTTATATGTATTCACGTTTGTGTAGTGTTAAACTAAGAGCATACTGACTATCTGTCTTTTGAGAGTGACAGAAAAGCATATTTTTTGTCACACGAACGCAAACAGGTAAGTGTATAAAACAACTAGTGTAGACAGTTTACTGATTAGTATTATTTTTCTATTTTTTTTGTAAAAATAAAACAAATTTTCGCATGTTTTATTTTCTACTGATTATTTCTAAAAGCATAACGTGAGTATCTTTTTTATGAATGAGCCATATATTGAAATCTATCTATATTTGGAATCAGCTCGACATCGATAAAAATATCTAATATAAATTTGACTGACCATTCTTAGTGACAGTGATAGATGACACACTTCTAGGACTCCTCACGTCTGAGGAATAGAAGCGAGCATTTTAGCTTGTAATGCTGAGATGTTGAAGATTTTCATGAAGGAATGCCTAGTGCTAGAGTTATGAAAACATTGAAACCAATCGTATATACTAAATCGGCTCTGCTCGTCTTAATTTTCAGGTTTCACTCGTATATGAAGACAGTAGCGCTAGCTTTAATGTTCATGAAATAGAAAACATTATAAATGATAAGTGCGAAAATTTGCTATAATTTTGTTATAAAATAAGTCTGATTTTTGTATAAAACTTTTACCTCGATTTATCTAGCCTAAAAAACTAACCCATAAATACATAAATTAGCCGCCTTGGTTGAGTGATTACGTTGTTCCACACGTATTCACAAGGTACCGTGTTCAAAACTCAGTATCACCATCCATAAAATAAGTCTGAACAAGTCACTAACAGCTAAGCTGTTTCGAATGATTCATTCGTAGCGTGCTGATACGTTGTTAGTCAGTACATTAAGCGGGAGAAGTGCAAATACTGCTGTCTGTAAAAAGAAAAAGACGAGAGAAATTGATTGCATGTGGACCCTAATAATAATCGCAGGTGGCAGCTACGGGCGATAAGCTTATGGGAAATTATTATAAGTACATCAATTAATTCGTCTGCTAAATTAGAATTCGAACGATTCTTATCAATTATCAGACTATAAGTTTATTTCCCGAATGCATATGAGCATGTTCAGACAAGCGGAGAGACGTTGCAATACGATATCCTAATAATTTACTCGATGAGAGAAAAAAAAACACCATCAAATTGATTGATTAGACTAGTTCCCTCGTGGCTCATCGCGGTATAGAATTTTCACTTTTTATTTCTTCTGTTTTATATTTTCTTCGAAGTATCTTTTATTCGTTGAATATACGTCCATAACTAATGTATAAGTTTTGAAGTTGACAATCAGCAACAGAAGGAGCCTTTTTGTTAAAGAACGCAAAACTTCAAACATTATTTCGTTGTTTTGGAAAAACGAGATTTTTCGATTAAAATATAAAGTGCAAAATTTTAATTCTTCTTCAATAATAATGCATCTGAGCGATATATAAACTTCTATTAATAACAGAAAGTATTGAGAGTACTTTTCTTCGTTTTTTTTTCGAAATGTGATGTAACTTGACCATTCTGAGGTATCTGTCAAATTTTAGTAATTTCTTTGGAAAAAAAATAATAGACCCAAAAATACATTTTTAAAACAGTATCTACCATATGCAGTAAAGATTTGTATGCTATCAAATGTATTTCGACGGAAAAAGACAGTATAACTTTCGAGATTTATGCAACCCCAATATTTCATCTTTGGAATTAGAATGTTTGCATGTAAGTTATTATTTAAAAGTGCCCGAAATCAGTTCATGTAGAACTTGACTCAATTTACATCCATAATCATAAAGTCATCACATTTATTTATTCCTCCTAGGTAATCATTTTCACATTTGGACATTTATTTTTTTTTACTAATCAAAAAAAAAACATTGGTCTTCCTCGCATGTCGATGATAACTAATGATGCAGAAAATATGCATTCAGCAAGTGCAATGAAGCAAAAAGATGATGAAATACTACCAGAGGATCAATGTGACAGGATAAATTCACATACACCTGTTAGTGCGATCCAAGATACTAATGATCGATCGGAATCTTCAATAGAACAAATCGATCATCAGACACTCCTTGTTAATTCGACCTTGATCAATCAAATTCCAGATACTAACAATGTAATCGTTTATATATTGGATATTCCATCTGAAGCTGGTTTGCACGATGTTGAAAAAATAATTGAAAATCGTTTAAGAGCCTATCGTATTGAAGTAATTACGATTCAATATCACCCAAAACTCGGCATGGCTGTAATAATTTTGACAAAACACGATGATAAGGAACGTCTTATCAAAGATATTGAATCAGTAGTACTTGATACGAAGACACAGACAATCGTATCATTTTCTGACGATATTAAGTATGTTTGCTATCTAGTTTTCGATAAGAATACGTTCAAAATTCCGTCTACTGAAGAAATAGCATCTAATTGGACGAAAATTTTCAAGATAACAGAAGCTCCGACGATTGAAACAATTTCAATAGAATTTCCGAATATATTTTGCGTCACAATGCATTCATTTGATGAACTTATTCAAGCAGCAGAGATGTCGGTATTAAAAGTCAACGATTCACTAGCGACTATTTACGCTGGGGCTACCTGTAGCTTTTTTGAGGATATACCACCAGATACTACGGATGAGAAAATTTTAGCTGCCATTGCTTCTCAGATTGGTGTTAGCGAACTTGAAAAATTTTCACTTTACGTACAGTTCAATAAACAGACAGCTAATGCCATCATTCTGGCGTCACATGTGGCTCGAAAATGGAATCAGCACTCTGCTTTAATATTCAATGGACAAAATTTATTAAAAAAGGACACTCTCGCCTATCGACTAGTTATTTCTCCAGTTCCTGAAAATTTCAATGTTGATCATATTATCGAACACAAATTATTTAATAATAGCATTATGAGTTTTAAGCATACAAGAGATATTCTCATTGTAGAATTTGCTGACAAAGATATTTTTGAAAATTGTTTATCAATTGGAGCCTTAAGAATAGATGATAATGTGATGAAAATTACACCTTACACCATTCTCAGCAATCCAGAACGTATTGAAATCAATGCCGAAAATTGGTATACGACCAAAATGTTCGATAATTTATCTAGCATCATGGAATACATAAATCGTCCACAACATCCCATATTTTTTTACAAATGGGATGAAAAAAGCTGGCTTGAAGAATTTAAAAAAATCGTACCAGATAATCAAAGTTCGAACAGTTATCGTAAACTATGCCAATTGCGAATTACAGTCATGCTAAATACTATTGGAACGGTTCGGAAAAAAAGTTACATGACTAAAAATAAACAAGTAATACTAAACCCTAAATGCATGCAGACAATTATCTACAATCATAAATCGAAAATATCGAATGAAAAAATAGTTACAACACAAGAAATAAACGTGCGATATCCGTCGACATCAGTCAAAGTCATCAACGAAGATAATCTCGTTGTTTATCAAAGATTGATCGAAAAAGGTTATCACCCCTTACTGCTAAACATGGCAGATCCGATTAATCCTGGTGGCGGTTATCGTAAAGGGAGTGCGGCACAAGAAGAAAGTTTTTTTCGTCGTTCAGACTATTATCAAAGTCTTGACTTAGAAATCGCTGATCTCAATCGATCTCAAAGATTCCATTGTACAGAGAAATGTACACTAGAAAGGTTACCATCTTATGGTAGACTTTATAGTATGGATGAATTTGGAGCTATTTACACATCAGGCATTACAGTATTTCGTCAGGCGGAGCCTAATGGTTATGCTTATATGGATGAACCTCTTTATAATGTCTGTTCAATTGCTATGGCTGCCTATCGAGAACCAAAATTAAAAAATAACACGACCGTCACAAACAAATATGCAGCAGGTACCTATAAGAAAATTGAAAATATATTTGCCATTGGTCATCACCATCAACATGATTCTCTCGTTTTGTCAGCATTCGGATGTGGTGCCTTTAAAAATCCGCCTAGACACATAGCATTGCTTTTCAAGTCGGCTATTCAGAAATATGCTGGATATTTCAGAATTATTTATTTTGCTATAATTGATGATCATAATACAGGTCATACAGTCAATCCACAAGGCAATCTTCTTCCATTCAAACAAATACTCGACGGTTTTGTTGCGCAACCATCACATACAATATTTGTTAATAGTGCAAGAGGACCTTATCGTATTTTGGATAAACCAACCGACGAACAAATTACACTGAGTAGTGTTTGTGTTTTTGATCAGCCATCATGCTATTATGGTGCTAAATGCAACGATCTTCGAAATATTCAACATAATAAAGATTATTCCCATCCACCTCTGTGTCCCAATTCAGATAAAGCATTACCATGTAGCAGTTTAATCGATGATGAAATTCATGCATATTGTTTTATTCATAGATTGAAATGCAAGAATGGTGGTGAGTGCAGCAATACGGATTCTGAACATCAAAATGAATATGATCATCCTGGATTTTGCAATGATCCAATTCGTTGTGGTGATATGAGTGCAGAACATCTTTTTGCCTATCGACATCTTCCTTCTTGTCAAGAAGGAGTCATGTGTTCGCAATATCTAAAGAAAGATACAGAACATACAAACAAATTTCGTCATTTTAAAGCAATCTGCTCGTATGATAACTGTTGTGTGCGTTTTCATGACAAAAATCATTTAGATAATACTATTCATTCATTTCGACCACCATGCTCTTTTACGCCTTATAATTGTCAAATATACGTTGAATATTTACAAAATAGATCGATCAAAAACAACATTCCTCACGAAATAGAAAAGCACTGTCTTAATTATTCTCACATATGTCTATTTGGTAGACAATGTTACAATAAAACCGAACAACATTTGCAGACTTCAATTCATATTGCACGCAAATTTTGTCCAGATAGCAATCAATGTTCAAAACTTGATCAAGATGATCATTTAGAAACATTTTCTCATCCAGAGATTTTTGATATTCGTTGGCTGTGTAAATATCCAGGTTATCAATGTCCTAATCGATTGAATAATCAACACTTGAGAAAATATCGGCATAGTCGAAATCATAATCATGTTGGAGTAGCTAGATATAGTGGATTCAATACGTTAATTAATTTTTTTGAAAATCAAGCTAAACTCATTGAATCCATAAATAACCACTTCAATAAATTATCTTTAGATATACAAAAACCATCTTCAGAAATACTGAGTTGGGTTCGAGCTTTACAACCTGTCCATCGATGTCAACAACATGTGTTTGAATCGATTCTTCTTCACAACCATGTGATGAGTCTTGATTACATGGAATCATTGAAATATCCACAGAATGTAATCAATGCAGTGCAACAGCACTATGAAGTACGTCGTATTTTATTTCATTATAATAATCAAGCACTGAAAGAGCATATATTTGAATACATTGCAACAATAGTAAAATTGGTATTCACAGAAAAACAAGTAGGATCTTTCAATACACTACCATCTTCAATAGACGATCCGAGTAAACAAAATCAACAATCTAAACTGCAGGATAGAATTCAAATGATTGAGAAGAAACTAAAACCAACTTTAAAAGAAAAGGAAATAAAAGATATTCATAGTTGTGCGACCAGAATAACTATGGCATCTATCAAGCTACATTCGAACCCGACAGGAATCCGCTATCATTCTGATCGACAACTAGGCACAAATAAACAAGTTTTCAGCATTCTTGGACCGCATCGTGGTTATTACTATGGTGCGATAATTATCATCTTCAAACAAGAAATTATGCTTCATCCAGATGCCGACTTCTCAATACAGGCTGCAACTTGGTTTCTCAACGGAAAAACATACAAAAACCGTCCGTGGATCAAAGACCCTCAGGAACAAGATGAACGCATCAAACATTTTCATGCTTCAAAATTGCATTGTTCTGTTCCATTCTATGAGAATGCAGCTGCCATGGAGCTAATCGCTTTGACTGCTATCCATTTGCAATCGATGGAAATCGATCTAGATGATATCAAGCAACGTTGGATGAATATTGATTCGCATGAGGTATTCGAGAGTCATTTGCCTCAATTAATTCCATTGGATTACATCGATCAAGTATACATACCGAAGAATGTATTTGAATCATTGTCATCGGATGCGCAAAAAAGAGCAAAGAATGCATTTAGAAACTCACTCATTATTACTTCTCATGTCATTAGTCTAAGTTCGGGTCACTTGACGTATGATTCGACTCATATGGAATATGAACGATTCGTGTATAATGAAATAGATAAGAAAATCGATCAAATAAGAAGGTCTACATGCATCTCAAAAGGCACGATGGTCACTATTCCGGCATCTAATTTTGAAAACCATATTCTTCTACCAATTACCATTTCTCAGTCGCACAATTTATATTGTGCTGATAAACATCAAGCATCAATCACTCCAGAGTTTATATTTATTTATTGGCAAGCAATGTATGGAGACATGATGTTGTCAATATCGAATGAGATAATTCACATTACCGAAAAGCAACCAAATCTCCAATGCTTAATATGTTACATTGCTAAAGAACCGTCAAAAGACGTAGATGACTATTATGAAGCATATTCTTATTTGAATAATGGTACCCCATTTCAACATGATACTAATGTTTGCAGTTTTAAATTGAAATCTAAATCAAATAGATTTTATCATGGTTGCAATACTGATGATTTTTATACATTTTGTTTGAAGATCAATCGAATAACAAACGAAGTAACATTATCTCATGCTGGTGCGAATAGTATATACAATCATGAAAAGATTGAATATAAATTTAATACGAATGAATTAGATTTATCCAAAATCGATTTTATTCATGTTAGTGCCGGTGCACAAGATGTACCTGTACGTAATTTGACAATAAATCATGAACTAATATCTGAATTGCATCCATCATTTGATGAAGATTTTAAAATAGACACTTCTCATTTATTGCCTAAAATGAATGAAAACAGATCGTGTTATGTTTCTACCGTTACTGCTCCTAGTAACTGTTATGTAACTACTTCTACAAATGATACTTTGAATGTTAATTCTGATGTTAACTCTACTACTAGTTCGTGTGATAATACGTCTGAACAGACTTGTGTACCGAATCCATACACTAAACCAAAAGTATCACTCGAAGTTTCGTTGAAACCGAGAAAATTAACTTGGTTGGATCGATTGAAGCGTTCAGTCTTTCATGCTAATTCCAATGTGCAAAAAAGAACAGTAAAGGGATTATATTATTCTTCAAATAATTCATTAAGTTCAACATTTGTATCACGGATTCCTTGCTCTCGTTCAATATATTGTCTAGATCAGAATTCTGAAGATCATATAAGGAATTTTTCACATCCTTGTCGTTATTCTGAACTTTGTCACAATCAAGACAATGAACCTCATCTCACACATGAGCACCACAACGTTCCAAAATGTTCTGTTGATGAAAACTGTCAACAGCAAACAGATCCTATTCACCGTGCACACTATCGGCACACAAATCTTTCTGATTACATGATACCATGTCATAGTCAACAAGCGTGTAACGATAAATCCTGGCAGCATCGATTGAATTATTTTCACGGTGAAAATTTGAGTGAAAATATGGGTAAGTTTCTTTTTTGACCATTATATTGATCTCTATGAAATAATAGTTTCTATTTGTTCATTCTAGCAACAAACAATCGAACAGAATAAATCAGGCTATAATTGCAAAAATGCATATGACTTTCTTTTAAATTTGACAATTAATATTCATTGATTCAAGATGAAATTGTCATAATCCATCTGGGAAAAGACATGAATACTTTTTGTACATATCAGAACATCTTGCTTAACATATTAACAATATCTTATTATTTTTAAAATCTAGAAATACGAATAAAAAAATTCCTTCTATCATTTTATGGATCACGAAATAAGTTGCAATAGCTTATTTAGGACACCAAAGAGATTTAGAAGAATTAGATATCCTTACTAAAGTGAGGATAGTGGGAGAAAAGCTAGGATCATTTTCTCCTCATCGAAATCATTAAAAAATTTCTAACTCTCCAGAATTATAGAAAACTTCATCATAAATTCTGGCAGAAGCTTATTTTTCAAGTACTGTTCATTATTTTTTTTCAGCAAATTGAAGGTATGAATGTAAGTAAGTGAAGATAAATTTCACTAGAACATCCATGTTCATAGCTATCCATACCTTCAAACAATCTATCGTCACACACTCACCTCCTGACAGCTCACTGATGATAATAGAAAGCGACTAAATCGTTAATCATTTAAGATGGCATTAGAATTTTCCATGCTCGCTATATGTATAGTGCTAATTATTAATGCTAGTTATACAGATGAGTGTGGGTGTGGATTTGAATATCATTTATCATTCCGACCACCTACGCTCACACCCACACCCCGTTTTTATATTGTATCATGAATTACAATGATATTGTAAACAACAACACGAATTTTAATAATTATTTTATATAAACGCTATTTTCACTCGAAAAAAATTCTATCGCATTATTTAAACAATATAATTTTTGTTCATCATAATTTTGTGCTTCACATTAAGACTCTAATTTATGGATGAAACACTCACCAGATTGTTGATACAGCATTGAATAATAATCCAATCACAATAAATAATTAAACAATGATCATCTTTTTCGACCAATATTGCTCGATTAATTAATTAAAATCATAGTGATTAAACGATGCTTATAGTCTTCTTCATGTTTATTTGAACTATAGTTATTAGATGGTCATTTGGATTAGATTTCTATATAGTTCTTTGCACCATAAATGGTCGTTTGTACTATACGATAATATGGTCATTTGAACTACGGTTAGCCAATGGTCATTTGCACCGCAGTTGTTATTCGGTCATTTGTACTATTGTTACTATGGGCATTTGTATCACAGTTACTGTAGGCATTTTAACCATATGGTCATTTGTACCATAGTTACGTGAACATTTTGACCGTGTTTTCGACAGAAAGACAGACACAGGTGAATTTCGGTTTCTAGATCCTAGCCTTTCAGTCTAGGGAACAGAATTATTCTATTTCTTTAGGATACTTTATGTTAGAAATATAACCTTTTTTGCGATTATATTTATCTTATAAATCAAATCCTATATACTTTTTATTTATTTATGGATGCAAAAAAATAAAAAAGAAAAGATTGAATTTTCTAAGAATGAACCGAGGACGACAGTTTCTTAATAATCTTGTAGGAAGTAAGATCCTAATATATTTGTTACATAAAGTAGTCTAACGAAATCGAATTATTTTTCTTTAATTTCTAATAAAATAAATTAAAAAATGTAAATAATTTAAATTTAAAATGAATTTAAATTCTAATAGCTTTATTTAAATTTAATATAAAGTTAACTTATGAAAAAAAAAATATTTAAATTTAAGAGAGAAACGAAACTTTCAATGCAGAAAGAGCGCACTTTCTAAAGTTTTTTTTTAATTTTTGTTTTTGTCTGTCAAAGCTGGAATTTCTTGAGATCTTCATGCCAACCATACGTCAAGGTTTTTATCATAAGAATCTCGATTTTTTATGACGGAAGAAAGTCTAGCCGCAGATTTAATGAGAAAACTTCATCTTGAAAACAGCGCTATTTCATCAAACCGTGATCGCGTATAACAAAATCGCGGTGCAGAATTATGTGAAAGTGTGGTATAGAAAAAGCGAGGTTCAGATTCTAAATACCGCGGTTTGACTAATCGTGGCATTCAACATCATCCAGAGAACGCGATTTATGACAAAAATCTTCGCGGTATTAAAAGCCGAGAAAAGTCCCGATTTTAAATCCTGCGACTCAACCCTGCTACACCGAACTTTTTTCAAACCGCGGTATTTTGCGGTGTAAATACCGCGGTTTATTAACAAGAAACCGCAGTCATTACGAAAAGATCGTGGTTGATCGCGATTTTGATTTCAATTTTTTCCGTGGGTATAGTATGCTTTCTCAACATCCACCAGATTTACATCCATTAATAATAACAAAAAGCTTAACAAGTTTTGAATTGATTAGTATTTGAATTAAATTAATTCCGATGAAATTACTTCTGCACGATCGATGAATTCTGAAAAATCGCAGCAACTAATATATATTATGTTAATTGATTTGCATGCGACTATAGTCTGTTCTCATTTTTTTCAGAATGAGTCAGATTTTTCTTGAATTGATCATCATGTTTTTATACCATTTGTGAGAGAAATAGCTGATGGGTATTGCCCAGATAATTAAGATTACAATTCCCAAAATAGATGCAATGATCAAATTTCGTCTACCTTGATTGATTTTATCATTAACTGTCCAAAGTAAATCATAAGGTTTCTTTATATTGAAATAACATTCGTAAACTTGATCAACCTGAAATAGAATGACAAACAATGAATTGTCGTCTTCTTGCTTCTACTCGACAAAATTATTTTTTGCCATGACAACTTTTACTCACTTTATATTGGTTCATTGTTGCTTCAACTACATCTATAAACGTTTCATAGTTGTTTAGAAATATTTTTGAGCGTTTTTCGGATTCATTATCATTAAAATCGACCGTCCATACTGTTTGAAATTTTGCATTAATCCATTTCATAGCATCGGTCTCATAAACTTTATATTGAGTCGGTTGTTGAGTCTTTGGAAATTGAATATATTTTTGATAACCAAAGTATAAACTCTTAGGGAACCAGATTAATAGTATAGTATTTGCTATTATGAATAATGTAATAATTGCAGCTGGGGTTTCTGAATTCATTTTTTTTATCGATTTGAACTACAAAATAGAGAATGTAAAAATAAAACGCTACGCGAGAAACTGACTGCATTTTATATATGTTAAAGTTATTCAATTACATCGATGAATAATTTTTGTTTGTATGCCTACACACACTGAATGAATAAGTTTGAGTTATTTTCTTCCATTTACACAAAACTAAGCGAAGAAGAAAAAGTAAAAATTTCAGTCTCACAATTGTAACGCGTCACTTTCTTGCTTAAAATATACTCGTTCCATTTCGATATTAATTTTTCTCTGTTATTGAAGACAAAAGAGAACTCGTCAGAGAAATTCGTGTTCTTCTGAAGTTAAAGGAAGAAAAAACAAAGTTCAGCAGTGAATATATTTCTATTTCTTTCTTCCTTTCAAGATAATTTCTAAGTGATGAAAACATAAATGTTAACTTCACTTTTTCTTTCATGGCAGATAAACAATGAAACATAACTGATTGTTTTGAAATTGGATCAATCTAAAAGTGATTTACATAGTGACAAACTGAAAAACACGACAGTTAAGATTCTGTGAGCACGCTTCTCAGCAATCTCGAAGATTTTTCTGATGAAAACTTTGTTGAATAAAGCTGAGAACTCAGGTTTTTCGAATGATGAAGTCTGAGGAATCCATAGTGCTTATGTAGCTGAGACATTAGCAGTTGAAGATAAAGACAGTGTTTGGTGTATAATTCTGCCCTCATCAGTAGAGGGGCTACTGGGACTTATTTTTTCGGTATTTATTTATTTATTGGGGATTTATTTATTCGGGATTTATTAATTATGATGATATTTTAGTACACCCATATCCACATCCTCAAGATTCAATTGATTGATTTTCATGAAAAGTTTTATTTCTATACTATCGGAATATTGAATATATTCATATAATTATTCTCTTATTATTAAATATATCTATAGTATCGATTTATGATCGAGAAATTATAGCTTGCAAGATTTTTCATGTCTTCACATTTTTATCCCAAGAAAGAATGATCAAATAAGTGTCAGACTCTTATTGATAATTCTCATGTAAGATAAAAACTTTTGATAATATTAATTAAAAGAGAATACTAGTAGAAATTCTATGAAAACATATGAGAAAAAAAACACAAAATAGCTTTTATTAAAACAAACTATGCTAGGTAATCGAGAAATTTTTCATAATGAATCTACTAAGAGATATTATTCACGTTGAATTTTATAACATCTATTTATCAACATTAGAAGTCGAATCTTTGAGTTGAGATTTTTTTTCTTCACAGAGAAATAAACGTGACGAAAAACAGACGAAATTAATCATAGAATTAAATGGAAAGTAAAAAAATTGTTTCGGTTTAATATCTCTTTGAAATGAATATTGTCTAATAGAATAATGATTATATTGAGACATGCAATTATAAAATCAATTTGAATAGAATTATTTTTGTTTTGATTTTTCATTTTTTAAATATAAAAATATCAAAAGCAATAATCATTGAAAGAAAGTTTAAATGAATAATAGAATTGATTATTTTCTTAGAAACTATATTAATAATAAATAATTGTTTTTTTCATATTGATAAATAATATAAGATTGATGTCAATCATAGATTCGATAATTTTAGTCGATTTTATTTTTCAATTCAAATTCTTCGTGCCTTTTTTTTTATATTTGACGTTTGTTCGAGATTTGTTTTCATAGATCAAATATTTAATTTGTAAGACATATTACTTTTGTTATTCTTTGAAAATAATCATTTCAAATAATCAAATAGAAATACAAGCTGCCAAATAATAATAATCGATTTAATTAAATCATAAATTAATATTAAATTTTGAAAAAATGTTCAAATATCTATTGATGATCTTTATATTGACATTGTTTAATTATGTTAATGGATATATATGTTATTGTTACTGTCCTCATTATGTTGGTATAACAAATCATTATACATGTACAACAGTTGAATGTTCTCTATCATGTTCTTGGTCTTATATTGGTCTTTGCAAAACACCATCGACTATATTCGGGTAACTTTTCATAATATCATTTTATATTTTAACGAATTTTAATTTAGTTATTGTGGAATGAGCTCGATTATCATTCCTGCGAAACTAAACATTTTTATTCTAGTTTCAATGGTTATTATTATCGATCAATATCTTTTTAATTAAATATTCTTATGTAAACAATAACATGAAAAATATTTTTGAAAAAAGAGTATCGATAATGGTAAATACATGAATAACACCGAACATAAACGCATTTATGTAAAATTGATCAGTTGATGCTTTTTTTGTTATAAGATCAACGTGAATATAATTATAATATATTTAAAAAAAATAGATAATTTTAATAATTTAGTAGATATTTATTGATCGAAAATATTTTTTTCATTTAGCTTTACAAAGAAAATAAAATAAAATTCGTAAAAACATCAGTTTGAAATAGAAAATCTAAAACTGAACATTGTATATTTGTGTCATCAATCTTATTTGACTTTTTCAAAATAAGTTTGTTTTAAATTTTACTTAATTACTGTTCTCAATAATCAACTTTTAATTAGAATAATATATTCATATTAAACAATTTATTATATAAGAGATAACTTGCTGGACATAACAAAGATCTCTTTCAAAGTATATTTCAATAAAATAGTCAAATTTATCACCTTGGATATGTTAGACCAACATTCGACTATTTATTCGATGGATTCGCTCCAAACCGATTTCCAACGCAGTTCAACTGCTTTTCAAATAGAACTTGATGTACTCTAGTCACTTCACCTGTCATTTTCTCAAAGAAAACATTTTAACCTAGCCAAAAAT